GGTCGAATCGGCCAGTGACAAGGTGCTACAGGTTGGCCCTAGACGAGGTGCTCCTTGCCGGCCTATGTTGTGGTTGAAGTCGCTAGGTTGGCGGTAAAGGTAGGTTGCCAGGTCAGGGCGAAGACGAACTACGATCTGGGACTCCAAATTATCGCCTAGGTGGCATCTGGGTGTCATCCAACTGTTTCGGGATGCCATGTGTCACAATGTCATTGGAGGGCCAAATCCGCCCTCATCACTTTCCAAGTTGACAACCTTCACACTCCAGACTTGACAAACTAACATACTCAAATAGCTTTGGAAACAAAAGACTCAAAGAAGGAAAAGGCAAATGACCGAAACGATTATTCCAAAGCATAATCTGACCCATAGACCCTGACTCACTATCCCTGTTAACATGATGATTCTGATGAGGAGAAAGCACATCCAGGAGGTAGATTCCATTCACTTCACGATCACTCCCACTCATTCTCTTTGTATCCAGATCCTGCAAGATACAATGACCAGGAGAAAAAATTACTGAACAGTTCAGGTTCTTAATCAATCTACTAACAGATAACAAATTAGTGCTCAATCTGGGAACATGAAGGACAAAGGGAAGGGAAATGGATTCACTAATCTTGACACACTCCTTCCTATCAATGGGAACATGAGGTCCATCAGCTGTGGAGACCTTGTCTCTGCCAGAACAAAGCTGGTAAGAGGAAAAAATAGTGGAGCTATGGGTCATGTGCTATAAGGCTCTAGAATCTATAATCCAAGGAGGTCCCTCCTTACCTGAAGTAGAAACATAATTTGCAGTGGCATGTGAACTACCTGTGTGAGCAAAGGAAGTAGAGTGAACTCCACCAGAATCACCTATACCTTGCTGTCCGCCTATTGCTGAACTAGAACTGGCTGTATCCCGCTGGTTCAGAAACTGCCCATACCTCTCAAGTTCGGCCCTTACTGCAGCAGCCGCAACAGACTCCAGAGCAGCTGTAGTAGGAGGGGCCGAAATGTCACCCGTGACTGCCATGTGAGCATTTCCCTTCTTATTTTTGAGTCTATTCGGCGCAAGATGTGGATGAAGCTTCCACCAAGTATCTCTTGTGTGTTTAGGCTTTTTATAGTAGTCACAGATCAAATTGTTTTTGACTTCCTTCTTGATTTCACTGCCACTCTGGTCTCCACCTTGTTTAGGTCTCACAGTACTAACCATGGCTGACTGATCAAAACCAGAACTTTTCATCATCACATTCTCCTGCTCTCCTCCCTTGACACAAAGGCATATGCTTGGGAGAGGGTAACACTGTCCCTAGAAAGAATGTGCTGCCTTGCGATATCATACTCGGGATTAAGGCCAACAAGAAATTCAAACACCTTGTACTTCTCTAGGTGTTTCTGGTAGGCAGTTAGCATCCTTAGTGGTTTCCCAAGCAAATGTCTCTAAATGGTCAATCTCCTGCCATAGGGTTTTAAGGGCTGAAAAGTAAACTACAATAGGTCTATTTCCCTGTCTTTGTGGCAATAATCCGATTTGTCAATTGATAAGTCCTAGCAACATTCTCCCTCTATGAATAGGTTTCTGCAACCCCATCCCATATTTCCTTAGCTGTATTTGCCCATAAAAAGTTTTTACTTATATGGGGCAACATGGAATTACACAGCCAAGTCATCACCATATAATTATCCTGTACCCACCGGGAGTTGTTAGTTTCAGGTTTCACTTCTTCACCAGTGATATACCCTAATTTCCCACGAGCGCCAATGGCCATCTTTGTAGATTGTGACCATTCTAAGTAATTCGAACCATCCAATTTAATTGTAGTAATGGTCCTAGGCCCGAAAAGGTCTCCAACACCTCCTCCCACTGGTCCCATTTCACTCTTGGGCTTGTTTTCAACTCCGTGACCCTCCATACTTCTCAAAAGGTGCAAAGAAAATTACTGTAATATGCAAGAAGATCAAATGAAACACTTTTGGAACCAACAACACCTTTCTGGTGCCCTAGATGGTCCTCCCACAAAAGATTACTTTTCTGTGGGTCAGGAGAAGAGAGAGAAGAGGCAGCCGCTCTCTCCAGAAACCTCCAAATCAGGCAGGACTTGAACCGCCCCCTTCAGAAAACTCCAAGGAACCCTAAAAAATTAGGGCACCACTTCCTAGGTCAAAATTGAAGAGTCCAATAGAAACAGGATTCTTTCCCTTTCTCTAGTTTTTCCTGATTTTGATGAGAAACCCTAGACCAACTATAGGGCAAAATAGATTCACCAAAAAGTCCAAAAACTGGGCTTACCTGAGATCTTTGATCAGCCTCTTAAATCACCATGCAGTTGGCCGATCTAGTGCTGCATGAGAAAACAACTTAAGGAACCTTCGGCCATGCTCTGATACCAAGTAGAAATCACTGCTTGTAAATCAGGATGAGTTTCTTGTGAAGAGAAAGAAGAAGAAGATGAAGAGTTTCAGCAGTAGAGAAGAAAAGAGGGGAAAGAAAGAGTGGGATGATAACCAGAATTAAATTAGTTCTGGCCGCCAACCCCTCATTATATTTTATACTTAACTTAAAAGAATGAAAGATTACACGAATGCCCTTAGTAGGGCGGCTACTAAAGTAGCTGAACAGTCAGAACTTAAAAAACATAAGCTAATGGGCCTAAAGCCCAACAACTTCCTAACTTAACAGCTTAAAATAAGAACAAAACAATTGGGCCCAATAACTAGAAATCGGCCCAACTCAACAAATGAATCTGGTGTCATTGTTTTTCAGATTTCTTTTGATTTTCTAGGTTGCATTCCGTGGCTTTTGATTTTTTATTAATTATTTTAATCTTTATTAGTGTTAATTATTTCAATATTTTTTATTAGTTATTAATTAACTTTATTAATTTTTATTTGTGTTAATTATTAATTATTAAAAATTTATTTATTATTAATTATTAAATATTATTTTGAATTTGATAAATTATTTTATATAAACTGTACAAATTGAGCTCAAAATTACCAAATAGTCTATTCTAGGGGTAAAATAGTAAAATTAGGGAATTTCAGATGTTAAATGTTTGATCAAACACAAACAAGCTTATATATTCAGAGCTTCCAAAAAGTAAGAAAGCATCTATGCCTCTTTTCAGATTTCAGACACTTTTAATATCCTTTTTAACTTTTCAGACTTCAGATTTTAGATTTATCAAACACCACCTTAGAGTTGACAAAACAGGGGTATTTCAATCTTTTCCATCTAAGTAATGTATTAGTTATATGCCTTCTGTCTAGGCCGGGGCATTTCTTTGTATACTTATTTACCAAGTTTAAATATATGGTCGACTGGGTTAGACTTTTAGTCTTCTCAGTTCGACACTATTCTCCTCTCTTCTTCTTCTTCTTCTTCTTCTTCTTCTCCTCTCTCTCTCTCTTCTTTCTCTCTCTTCTCAGTTCGGCTGAATACTAACAATCTTTTATTAGGATGAATGAATGAACAACATTAGCCATGCTTAAAAAGCACAAAAAATAAAAAATGCACATGCTTGGGCTGAGGCACAAGGATCACCAGGCATGTGCTTTTTGAAACTGGTGTGCCTAGGACCTAGGCAAGGAGCCTACCTTAAAATGCACCTCGCCTGTGTGCCTAGGCACACATGAGGTGTGCCTTTTAAATCACTGATTAATCCTATCAAAGAAAAGTAAATGTGATGAAGAAGAATTGTTTTTATTGATGATGGAAATAAAATACAAAATTTAAAACCGACATAAATGGAATTCTTTTCTTGTTTGGTAGTGGATCGACAGTTCAACCTTTTGGGTCAAACATGTCAACCCTTGATGTCATAATTCAGTAATAAGAATTAAACAAGATAAAACACAAAAAAAAAACAAAAAACTAAAATTTTTGTAGAAAGCATTTGGGCACATTTCTACTATCATGGTCATCTAAAATTGCCACTTGCAAAGCATGTGCACATTTAATAGCTAGTAGGTGATAAAATGAGGAAAAGTAAACTTAGATGATTTGGTCATGCTCACAAAAGGCCACCTACAGCACCCGTGAGAAAAGGTGATATGTTACAAGTTGAAGAGACTAGAAGAGCTATGGGCAGACCAAGAGGGACATGGGTTGAAGTTGCAAGAAATGATTTAAGTGCGCATGACTTAACAATGGATGCGACATTAAATAGAACAGAATGGCGAAACAGGATTCATGTGGTCAACTCCAGGTAGTTGGTATAAAGCTTAGATAATGATGATGGTTAAAAAGGATAATAAAAAAAAACAGTTTTTTCCTTCCAATATTTAAAAAGAAAGGCAAGAGATTCCGAAGGAATAGCAGACACTATACAAGTTCATGAGCATTATTCAACTGCTTGGTTATTAAATGTTCTTGGTGTTTTTTGTTGCTTCTCCTGATTATTGAGTACAACTCAGAGGACACTGTCATGAAATATGATGGGAAAAAATTTATTCATTGGCAGCAAGTCATAGCTGTCTTAAAATGCCCCTATGGTTCTTTTTTTGATAGTGGGACTCCTTTTGTATCTAATTGTAATGAATAGTCTGTACAGATTGGAATGTCTCCTGCATATTGGCTCATTGTGCAGAGCATTGCAATTTTTACATTTATTAATACAATACCATGCCTTTTTCGCTTTTATGCCTCTTACCTAGGACCTACATTCTCTGAAAAGGGGATGTTCATTCATCTTTACTTTGACCTTTCATTTCAGGGATGTTTATTGGCTGATATTAATACTTGATAGTGAATTGGTTTGGAAAAGATCAATAATTTTTATGAAATTATTGATAAAAATAATTATTATGAAATTATTTCTGCATCCTGTGATTTCTTGTAACACATGAACTGGTTTTTCTCTACCATTAAAATTCTTTCTAAACATTTCTGAGGATTACTGTACTTGTTTTTGCTGAAGTTGTATACAGTATACTAGTATAGTCTTGATTAGGAAATAGTAAATACCATTTTGGTGCAGCTTCAGTTCTAACCTTTCTGCTTGATTGAGCAGGATTTGAAAGGCAAGGTGGTTCTACTGGATTTTTGGACTTATTGTTGTATAAACTGCATGCATGTATTGCCAGATCTGGAATTTTTGGAGAATAAATACAAGGATAAGCCGGTAAATTATCCCTTTCTTTTATAATATTACAATGTCTTGTTTTTCTGGATTTCCACATTAAGTGGGCTTCTACTTCACAAGCTTCATTACTTCATATATATGATGGACAGGGTCAGATCCAGGTAGCCATGCTCCCACCCCCACTCTCAAAAAAGAAAACACCATTGTGTAAACCAAGGATGAGTTTCCATCCTTATAGTGGCCTCCAGATTTTTTTGGTTTGTATAATTGCCCCCAACCAGAAGAAGGATCCTCTCCAATACTGATGATGGAACTGTTTATTCACAACCCTAATAAAGGAGAGGGTTGTGTCATTCATGTGGGTTCACAGATCAGTGAACTGTATGACTGGTAAACTTGCTAAACAGGGTGCTAACAGGGAATGGATGTACTGGGGTACAACAAATGAGAACTATTTGTAATTTTGAAATGCAAGTAAGGAGGTTTGGTGGTGAAATTCCAGCCTAACAAAACATACCTGCTATAGTTTACATCCAATTTTTCTTTTCATAATTAATAAAGATCATAATTATCTATCAGAAGAACTGCTTATTCCTTGTGTCATTTCTAGGGCCTTGTTTACCTCATTCTTTGTACAAAAAAGTCCTATAAGGGTGTACGTGGAACAATTCCAATCTAATATAGGTTCAAGAAAGAAGAAGTAGAAATCCTTTGTTGGCTGATATTTTGTAATTTCCAGTCATGTTTCTAGCTCATTAACCATGCCTTTTGTATCTAGGGTGTTAAGATGTGCCGAATAGGGGTAGTTTAGTCTTCTTCTGTTTATTAAGTAACTTGCTTATGTGGCAGTGTTATTAGAGTTACTCTGCCCCACACTTAAGTAAGGGCATTTCTGTCTTTGTAAACATTATTAGAATCTAATATAGATTAAGGGGGTTGACTGGATGGGTTAACCATCAGATTTTCGACAGACCCTTCTTCTTCTTCTTCTCCTCTTCCTGTTCGGACTACTGTAGCAGCAGTCGAAATATGGTATCAGAGTCATGCTCCTGACCTACTTCAGTTGGTAAAGCACCTCAGCATTGTTTGTGACTCTTCTCCTTCGTTTTTGGTCAGTCAATGGAGAGAACTGGTTCGCCCTAGGTCAGAAACATTACAGCTTGTCCCTCTCTGCTGCGCATAACCTTCTTCAACAAGGAAAGTGACTTCAGCAGTGAATGGTTGATTGATATTCTCAAAGGAAGGTCGGTTCTCTCTTCTTCTACTGTTACTTATATTTCTGGGTAGAAACCCTACAAGAAGCTGTTAGTATTGA